TTAGATATTGGAGCACTTCATTTTTCTTTGGAATACCATTTTCTGTTGATTCTTCTCTTCCTTACTGGCTACCTCTTGAAAAACCTCGATTGGTTTCACCTGATCAACTGACCTCTGTCTGTAAGGGTACCCCTGGGCTCAGTCTTCAGATGCCTTATTTTTCTTTAACTATGCTCACCCCTTATGTGATCTCATCCAATCTGATGACTTTAATGCCTGTGTTATATTGATGACTCTTCAATCTATGTCCCCAGTGCAGATCTGTTCCCTGAACTCAGACTCTTCTATCTAGCTGTCTTCTCAACATCACCTACTGTGGATATCTCATAGGCATCTTAAACTTATCATGTCTAAAAACGAACTCTCTTCTCTCTTTTCTCTGTGTCCCAATCCATATTGTCGCTTTCTCAATCTTCCCTACCTCATGTTCTAGTTTGCTGTAGGCCAGTTCTTACAGTCACCTTTGACTCTTCTTTCTTACCACACACCCAGCACACTAGTAAATCCTTTGGGCTCTACCTTCAAAACATATTATAGCAGAATCCAACCACTTCTCACCGCTTCTGCTTCTGCATAGGCTCAAGCGAATCTCCTCTGGATCATTGCAATAAACTCATAATTGGTTCCCCTGCCTCTTCCCATCCCCTACCTACTGTCCACATAAATCAGATCATGTCACTCTTCTCCTCAGAATCCTCCAGTGAATGAAAGCCAGTGATCTTACATGACTTACAAGGTCACCCAGCGTCTGGCTAGCCTCCTGCTACTTCTCTGATCTCATCCCCTACCAGCTCCACCTTTTCTCATCAAGCTTGGCCACACTGGCCTTCCACACGGACTTGAAACATGTCAAGTATGTTCTACCTGAGGAGCTTTGCACTTAGTGCTCCCTCTCTGCCATGTTCTTTCCCACATATACCTACGTGGCCGGGGCAAATGCTCAAGTAGCCCCTTGTTCTGGACGCCTTCCCACAGCATCATACGTAACATGAGGCTCCACAGGTCCTCCTCACCCTCCTTTCCCCACTGGACCTGACTCCAGTCATCATCACCATCTGGCCTACACACACTTACTTTTTCATTTGTTTAGCATCTGGCCTCTTTTGACTAGAATGTACGCTCCCCAGGGCAGGGATTTTGTTTTGTCTGCTACTTTGTGTTAGCACCTGGAACAATGTCTGGCACTTAATAGCACTCAATAACAAATACTTCTGAATACATAAAACAACTAAAGCAACTGCACTAACATCACATACCAAAGGTGTTTAAAATAATATACGGTATCACCAAATTACAAATGGATTGTTTTCCAAAAGTTTTTAAAAAATCTTTATTGTTGAAAGTATTACATATGTTCCCATTTTTCCCCCATTGACCTCTTCTAGCCTGTCCCTGCCCCCGCCCCACCCCTGCCCCCGCCTCCCTATTTTTAAATGTTTTTAAGTCAGGTGTTTGGAAACCAATATGCATTTTCCATGTGAATATGAAGTAAGTGCTGTTATTACCCCATCTCATGGTTGAGAAATCTGAGGCATAGGTTAAGTAACTATGCTTAGGTCCTGATTCCAAGACATATATCCTAACCACTACACTAAATTCCACTGTGTAGACAGGCCATAAAACCTTGGTAAGTCATCAAGTTCTGATTTAAAGTATTTTATAAAAAGGAAGGACTACAAAGAAGGACACCTACCTTACACAAGAACAGCTACATTTAGAGTCTAGATTGACCTCTTAGCTTTTTAGATTGCTCACTCAATTACATCAGTTCTCTGCTGGGCCTTTCTGCTTTTAGCAGCATATTTGCTTTCTTCCCACCCGTCAGTCTCCCAATCTTCTTGCTACCCTTCCCTCTCCCGCTTAGATTCCGTGGTCCATCATTTCAGCCCCTCCCTTGCCAGTGTATTACATGCTCTTGCTGTTGGTCCTTTCATTGCCCATTCTGTGGAATCGCAACCCTGGATGAGTATAACTATTTGTATCTTCTGCATACTGTACCCGGGCTGCTGAGTCCTGTGTGTAGGTTTATTGATGGCAGCCATTCTGGCAGGTGTAAGGTGACACCTCATTGTCTGATGATTAGTGGCACTGAGCATTTTTTCATTTGTCTCTTGGCCATTTGTATGTCCTCTTTGGAGAAGTGTCTATTCAGGTCCTCTGCCCATTTTTTAATTGGATTGTCTGTCTTCCTTTTGTCGAGTTGTAGGAGTACTGTATATATTTTAGAAATTAACCCCTTATCAGATGCATCATTGACAAATATGTTCTCCTGTACAGTGGGTTCCCTTTTCATTTTGATGCTGATTTCTTTTGCTGTACGAAGCTTTTTATTTTGATGTAGTCCCATTTGTTTATTTTTTCCTGTGTTTTTCTTGTGCTAGGTGTTTTCCTTTCTTTCTTTCTTAAGGCTTGTGAGGAGCTGCTACTGCCTGTGATATTTTATTTATTTTTAAAAATATATATTTTATTGATTTTTTTTTTTTTACAGAGAGGGAGAGGGATAGAAAGTTAGAAACATCGATGAGAGAGAAACATTAACTACTACCTCCTGCACACCTCCCGCTGGGGATGTGCCCACAACCAAGGTACACGCTCGGGAATCAAACCCGGCACCCCTCAGTCCTCAGGCTGAGGCTCTATCCACTAAACCAAACCAGTTAGGGCTCTTTTGTTGTTTTAATAAGGAGTGCCATTCATGGTTCCTTATTTGCTATACTAGGAAGTGCTGGTTTTATAAAATCAAGTGAAACTTCCCACTTCTTTGGGTTTGATAGGAGAGGAGAAATCCCAGGAAAGAAGAAAAGAGCAATCAGTGTGTTCAGTTTGTGGCTGTACGGAGTAAGTGGTAAATGTGTCAGCACCATCCCCCAACTCCGGCGTGCGAGTTGCAGTAATGGGGTGGGGAGGAGGAGCAGGAGACAGAGCAGTAAATGTGTCCTCAGACATGCAAGATGAGTTTTCATCTTTCATTTCTTATTTACACTTTATAGCAAATCAATCAGCAATTTTTTAAATATTAATGAAAAAAAAACGGGATCCTGATTACACTTGGAACATGGCAAGATGTGGGATTTCTTATAGATAAGATGTTTGTTGCATAGGAAAATATCAACATTGGATTGTAAAATACTTTTTATTCTATGAACTCAATAACTATTAATTATATACTGTACTAAAAAGAAAATAATTCATTAGGCTTAGAAATAAAACACTAACTGCAGAAAATTAAATCTAATAACACAGAGGGCTTAAGACGGACAAAGTACATTTCAAAACTTTTACAGTGGCCCTAGCTGGTTTGGCTCAGTGGACAGAGTGTCGGCCTGCAGATCAAAGGGTCCAGGGTTTGATTCTGGTCAAAGGAAAGTACCTAGGTTGCAGGCTCCTCCCTGGGCCCTGGTAGGGGCATGTGCAGGAGGCAACCAATTGACGTGTTTCTCTAAGATCGATATTTCTCTTTGTCTCTCTTCCATTCTCTCTTAAAAAAAAAAAATTAATGGAAATATATCCTCAGGTGAGGACTAAAAAAGAAAAGAATTTTACAGTGAAAACTGCAATGGTTTCTCATACATCAATATTTCTCTTTGTCTCTCTTCCATTCTCTCTTCAAAAAAATGGAAATACATCCTCAGGTGAGGATTAAAAAAGAAAAAAAAAGTTTTTACAGTGAAAAGTGCAATGGGTAAAGGGTGAACAGCATGTTCCAAGAGGGTCATTCTGAGCTGGAGATGAGGGTTTCCAATCAAGGTGTAGCAAAAGCAAAATGTGTACCCAGCTGCTCTGTCGTTAATGTAAGGTAGAGTAAAAGATTAGCGGGACAGAGGCAACAGACTTTTAAGGCAGCCATCAGTCAGAAATGTGAGGTCACAGCGGTGTGGATGCTGAAGTCAATGGCACGGAGGATGGGAGCTCAGTGAGCCAGGTCTCAGTTGGGTCCAGGCATGATGACGAGCGGTGCAGAGCTGCAGTGGCCATGGGTGGGGACTAGGTGCTCCAGGCCTGGGTGGATGGGTCAGGAGGAGTTTCAAACCGGGACCTGGAGCCATGGTATGGGATCCTCCAACACCAGTCACACCAGGATGAGAGCTGAATTCAGCAGGCGTAAAATCAGAAGGGGCATTTTCATGGGAGGGTCGAGAGGAAGTTTGTTTATTGGAAATTTTCGTTTACCCTTCTGCTAAGTGTACGTCTTCGCCCATGTCTCCGGGTTGTGAAAGAGCTCAGAGGAGGGGCGTGAGGTCATGGTGGCAAAGGGAACACGGGAAAGGACAGTGGGTGATGATGGGAGCAGAGGTGGAAGAGGTCAGGCAGTGATGGGACATGTTGAAGGCCTTCTAGAGAGAATTTTGAGGTTAAAAAATGAGGAACAAGGCAGCATGCAGGAAGGTTCTGATTCTGTAGGCAACCGGGGAAGTTATTTTCCTAAACAACAGAAGGAAGGACACATTCCCACAGTCCAGCTGCTGTGCTTTAACGCTGATCTACACGAGGGCCCGGGGGCCGAGGAACCGAACAGCCGAGGCTGGTGTGAGGTCCGCTGGTCATTTCCAACACAAGCCACCACCCTTTAGACACCACAGGTGGCCTCAGCCTGAATGAGTGTGAGCGGCTGGCTAAACTACTCTCTGAGCTCTCCAGGTAGATCCCTGTGTGTTTTTTTCTGGTATCAGTAAAACAGAATTAAAAACAAACAAAACAAAAAAAGGGAGGGGGGATGCCTTGAAGGAATATATTTAGGAGCAGGAGAAGAAAACAGGGACTAATCTTGTGAGGCAGGCACAGGGAATCATACAGAAGAGAGAAGACAGTGGGAGCATGAGGCACTGCCTGCTTCCTCCAGTGAGACTGCAGCTCTGCATTGCCTGCGTCGGTGGCAGGTGCAGTTCGGAGCGAAGGTCAGGCGTTATGACTGATTCCTGACTGTGGAGTCTTACTTCAGTCCCCACCTTCCTAAAGGAGTGAAGAGATCTGCTTTGTTTACTTGCTTCTCTTCCTTGCAGTTCCACTTGTTCTGAGGACCGGAATGAGGAAACCATGAGAGAAAAATAAACACCAGCAAGAGTACTGCACCCTGCTCTCTCCTTGCCGCACTTGGCACAGGATTCCAGAACCTCGTTAGGTTGTCAAACGCTGCAAGGAAAACCCCTGCAGATTTCGATAGAAGTCCTCACTGTAGGCTCTGGAAAGAATATGTATTCTTCGAGAAACACAAAGGCAGTATTGAAACGCACGGCTAACTGGAAAGAAAGCCTATTGTTTCTCCTTCAAAGAAAAGAAGCCTCAGTAATAGTTAAAGGGCCCTAGTGCCATACAATTAAACAGAAATACACTCATAGTGGCAGATTATCCTGACGTAGAGTACACGGAAATGCCAAAAAGCAAAACCTTAACGCCATCAAGTTCCTTTCATGAAATGTGCACTTTAAAAGAATCTGTAGCCCTAACTGGTTTGGCTCAGTGGAAAGAGCGTCAGCCTGCAGACTGAAGAATTTGTAAACTAATAGATGGGTGAGAAAAGAGGAAATGAAATTTCTTCTTTTATGGGGTTATTCTTTTGGTTTCTAATCTTCTCATGAAATGAAATGGATTTCAATAAGTGTGAGCCCAAAACTATGTTAATGGACCTTACCTGCATTAAGCCTCTCAGGCTAATATTCTTGACTAGGATAAAAACATAAAATAATAACATCATAAAAAGAAAGTCAGTTATGATTTCCCGTCTCAGTTAAGAAAACTATCATGTCATCATAACTTGGTGAATATAATCTGGAATTAAGCCAGCATATTTTAATATGTTCTTCTGTGCCATCAGTGTTTAGAATGAGTAAACGTAATTTCTGCAACAGGGAGAAATTCTGAAGCCATGGGCTGATTAGTGTCTACCCTGGGCCTGGCGCAGGAGCTCCATCATGTTGGGGTGGGTGCTGGGTTACCTGGTGTGATGGTATCTGTACCTAGAAAAGCCCAGGCAAGTCCTTGATATCGGAGTTTGAGCCAGTCATGGAGTCGTTTTTACTACACTAACCTTTGACACACACAAACATTTATACTTTGGACAAATATTAAATATTATCTAAAGGTAATGGAGAGTGACCAAAGCATGCAGAAACTGGAGGGGAGTTCACTCTGGTAAGAAGGGAATCATATTCTTAACTCTTTTCAATTTAGGACAGACCCCCAGGCAGTGCCACTGAGAGTAATTAAAACTCATGGAAACCTCAAGTTTTACTAGCGGAGGAACCAGAGGACAGAGTTCAGAGTGACCAAAGAATCTGGAAAGGGAGGAGGAATTGCTGAAAAGGGGAGACCTGAGGGCGGCCACACTGCCCCAATCTCCTGCTGATCTCTGAACCCCACAGCCTTGGGGCAGACTCCAAGCAGCTCAGCCTAAACAGAGAGCTGCATAGAGATTTCCTTTTGCCCACCGTGGGGGAGACAGGATTTAGAGCGTGAGCTCAACCAAGTTAACTGCCTGCTACACAAACAAACAATTATTCAGAGGGACAAAACAGAGTCCACTGTTTCTATAATGCATTATTTATAATGTCCAGAATATAATCTAATTACCAGACATACGAAGGAACATACTCAAAAGAAAAGGCAATCAGTGGAGAACGATCCCCAGATGACCCGGATGTTGGAGTTGGTGGACAAGGATTTAAAAATTCTCTTTATTGTTGGAAGTTATACAGATGCACTCTTTGTCCCTCCATTGATACCTTTTGGCCTGCTCCTCCCTCTCTCCTCCCCTGGACCCAGGCCTTTACCACACTATATGTCATGGATTATGCCATATAAACTTATGTCATATAAATTCTTTGGCTAATCTCTTCCCATCCACCCACCCACCCCTCCACCAACCACCACAATCCCTCTGAGATTCATCTGTCTGTTCCATGCTTCTATGTCTCTGGATCTATTTTGTTCATCAGTTTATTCTGTCCTTTAGATTCCACCTATGAGTGAGATCATGTGATACCTGTCTTTTTCTTTGGTTATTGCTTTTATTGTAGATAACCTTTTAAATAATTATAGTTGACATACAATATTTCATTAGTTTCAGGTATACAACATAGTGAATCTATTATTTTATACATTACAAAATGATCACCATGATACGCAGTTACCATGTCACCATATGAAGTTATTATATTATTGACTGTATTCCTTGTACTGTACATTACATCCTTGTGACTTATTTATAACTGGAATTTTGTACCTTTTATGACCCTTCACCCATTTCGCCTGTCCTCCCTCCCCTGTTCCCTCTGGCAACCACCAGCCTGTTCTCTGTATCTATGATCTGTTTGCTTTGTGTTTTAGATACCACATGTAAGTGAAATCATGCGATATTTGTCTTTCTCTGTATGACCTTCTTTTAGATAAGATTGGTAGACTGGTAAATCAGGAAAATGCTTGGCCAGATTTCAAGTGCTTTAAACAAAATTTCTCATTTTCTCATGCATAAGATGGAAAAATGTGGGCCGTGTGACAGTTTAGATGCATTCATTCTTGACCCCAGCCACTCTCCCAAGACTGACCTCCGTGCTGTAAACGGGTGTTTGCAGGAAGTGCAGTGATGGGAACTGGGAAGGAACATTTATCTGTCACCGACTTTTTTATTCATTTGTCCTCCTTTACTAGCTCATGAGTAAACTCCATGAGGGCAGGCTATGCTTGTATTTTTTAAAAAATATATTTTTATTGACTTCAGAGAGGAAGGGAGAGGAAGATAGAAACATCAATGATGAGAATCATTGATCGGTGGCCTGCATGCCCCACACTGGGTTTGAGCCCACAACCCTGACACTCGACCACTGAGCCACATGAGCAGGGTGGGGGGGGGGCAATGCATTTTTTAAACATGTATCTTCCTAGTTGCCAGGAATTCATTCTGTAATAGTTCTGCCACCTGGAATGGGGCAGGAACTGGAGGAACACGAGGGTGAGCCCTGTGACAAGGGACCCGGGAATCACTATACTCAGAAATTCAGACAGATGTTTGTTCCAGGGAAATCCATCAGCGGCAGACCGTCTCAGGGACCAAGCTGCTGCCGGAGAGGAGACTTCGTTTCTTCAGGGTCGTGTTTCTCCAAGTGAGGTTCGATCACTTGCTTTAGAATTACCAGGAGTGCTTATTAAAATGTCAGTTTTGGGGCCCAACCCTAAACTTGCTATCTCTAAGGATGGGCCTTGGAAATCTATAGGTACCTTAAGTGATTCTTACGCATAGAAATGTGAACTATTGTTTGTTTTAAGGGTCAGAGATCTGTCAAAAGTAGAGAAGAGACTGAAAGTCTCACAACCTTGGCACGACTGGCATTTTGGGGTGGATAACTTCTTGTTGTGGTGGCTGCTGTCCTGTGCATGTGGGATGTTTAGCTGCATCCCTGGTCTCAAACCCTCTAGTTGCTAGTAGCACCTCTTCTCCTAGTGTGAGAACCAAAACTATCTCCGAACGTTGCAAAATGCCCCCCCAGGAGAAAAAGCACCCCCTGGTCGAGAACCACTGCTTTGGAGGATCAGCGTAGCAAGCATGCTCCCCATCTGAGGGGCAGAAAAGAGAACACAGCTGGGGAATGTCTAGCTATTGGAACGGGAATGCCCAGTTCTGGCTCATCTACGGTGAGAGCTCCTTCCTAAGGGTGATACTGGCAGCTCAGCTACCTTGATGAAGGCCTTGCCACCACAGCTGGTGACGTGAATACAAAGGCCGAGAACCAGGCAGGGGATGGCAGCTTCGGCCAGGTTGCAATCCTGGCTGTGCACGGGCATCAACGTGGAATTGTGAACACCCAGTGTAGCTGGACAAGTGGAATGAGAAGTTCACCAGAAGAGGACGTTCTGCCAAGAAAAGACGGGAGCCTGCAAGCGGGCCACGTCAGAACAAAGTCTTGCAAACAAGACTTAATTATTTAGAGGCAGAACTTCCCTTGAGGTGATAAATAGTCCATAAGGACATGGAAAGTTCAAGGGAGGGTGCTCTGCTGCAGGTGGAGAGTCTTTGTAAAACAGGAAATTAATAGTGTAATGTATAACTTAGCTCTGATGATCTCACAAGCATGCTTGTTAATCATTGTTACTTGCTGTACTCCATTGTTGTTTGCTGTACTCCCTAAATAAAAGCCATGAGGGATTTGGGGGCTTTGCTACTTGCCTGAGCGAGCAATAGCCCTCTGCTTCTCTCAACTTGAT